CCCTGGGCAGCCTCTTGTTTGTGGCTTGCTGCAGCTGCAGGGGTCAGCTGCAGAGGACAGTGGCTGTGCAGTGCCTTCCATGGCCCCTTCCAAGAGCTGTTCAGTCGGTTGTGTTACTGGAGGTAGCCTGGGAATGTCAGGATAGGCCCCAGGGCGCCCTGGGGTAGGGACTGTTCCTTCGTGTCAGAGGCAGGGGACTGTCCATCCTGTGCCTCACGCTGGGCTGTAGAGGCCTCACAGGTTGCACTGCTGCACTCAGACCTGCGAGTCACCTCACCTGCTGCTCACCTGGGGAGAGCTCAGCAACCTGTGGCTGCAGAAAGCCAGTGATGGTCACTTGTCATTGCCTTTGGGGCAAGACTTCCCTTAGTGCTGCTTTTGGGCTCTCTGAAGATGTGTCCTCCAAACCCTTGGGCATAGGTGCAGCTCTTGTGCTACCACAGTATGTCAGGATTGGCTTTCACTGTCCTGCTCCCTGCACCTTGTGTGGTGTCTGAGCTGTTTTGCTGGAGCCTACCAGAGTTCAAAGGCAGTGAGGGGATCTTCAGGGGAGATACCTGATTTTTACCTTGCAGTAGAACATGGATCCAAGAGAAATAAAGATCTGTCAGAAATTAACATACTCGTATCAGGTTCTCAGCCTGAACGGAACAACATGTATTGCCAACATGTGTGTTGAACACACTGGGAGGACCTTGCTGTTCTGAAATATGCTGTTTCTTGTCTTTTTTACCAGTTTCCCTATACACTTTCGACAAGGCCAAGCAGTGCATTGGCACCATGACCATCGAGATTGACTTTCTGCAGAAGAAGAACGTTGACTCCAACCCCTATGACACAGACAAGATGGCTGCAGAGTTCATCCAGCAGTTCAACAACCAGGCCTTCTCCGTGGGCCAGCAGGTGGGGTGCTCTGGGACACCTGGCACACCGTGGGCAGACTTGGGAGGTGACGTCCTGCGGGGCCAAGGGACTGAGGGCTCTATGGAATCACAGAATCATCAGGGCTGGAGGAAACCTTTCAGATCATCGAGTTCAACCATTAACCTGCCACTGCTGTAATCCCTAAACTCTGAACCATATCCTCCAGCACCACATCCAGACACCTCTGAAACACCTCCAGGGATGGTGACTCCACCACCTCCCTGGGCCATATTCCAGCCCCTGAACACCCTCACAGGGAAAATATTTCTCCACACATCTTCTCTGACTCTGCTCTGTCTCAGCTCAAGGCCATTCCCTCCAGTCCTCTCCCTGCAGCCATGGCAGGACACACATCCCTCTACTCTCTAGCCCTGTCAGATAGCTGTAGAGAGCCAGGAGGTCACCCCTGAGCCTCTTCTCCAAGCTAACCAAGCCAAACTCCCTCAGCCCTTCCCTCAGAGCCAGGAGGTCACCCCTGAGCCTCTTCTCCAAGCTAACCAAGCCAAACTCCCTCAGCCCTTCCCTCAGAGCCAGGAGGTCACCCCTGAGCCTCTTCTCCAAGCTAACCAAGCCAAACTCCCTCAGCCCTTCCCTCAGAGCCAGGAGGTCACCCCTGAGCCTCTTCTCCAAGCTAACCAAGCCAAACTCCCTCAGCCCTTCCCTCAGAGCCAGGAGGTCACCCCTGAGCCTCTTCTCCAAGCTAACCAAGCCAAACTCCCTCAGCCCTTCCCTCAGAGCCAGGAGGTCACCCCTGAGCCTCTTCTCCAAGCTAACCAAGCCAAACTCCCTCAGCCCTTCCCTCAGAGCCAGGAGGTCACCCCTGAGCCTCTTCTCCAAGCTAACCAAGCCAAACTCCCTCAGCCCTTCCCTCAGAGCCAGGAGGTCACCCCTGAGCCTCTTCTCCAAGCTAACCAAGCCAAACTCCCTCAGCCCTTCCCTCAGAGCCAGGAGGTCACCCCTGAGCCTCTTCTCCAAGCTAACCAAGCCAAACTCCCTCAGCCCTTCCCTCAGAGCCAGGAGGTCACCCCTGAGCCTCTTCTCCAAGCTAACCAAGCCAAACTCCCTCAGCCCTTCCCTCAGAGCCAGGAGGTCACCCCTGAGCCTCTTCTCCAAGCTAACCAAGCCAAACTCCCTCAGCCCTTCCCTCAGAGCCAGGAGGTCACCCCTGAGCCTCTTCTCCAAGCTAACCAAGCCAAACTCCCTCAGCCCTTCCTCGCCAGATGTGTTCTGTCTCATAGGACATTGGTTCTGGGCAGCTCTCTTCAAGTCTTAGTAGTCTTGTCAAAGTCCTTTCGGGCTTTTGGTAGTGAGCTAACATTGCCTTGTGTCTCTGCTTCCCACAGCTAGTGTTCAGCTTTAACGACAGGCTGTTTGGGCTGCTGGTGAAGGATGTGGAGGCCATGGACCCCAGCATTCTCAAAGGGGAGACTGGGACCAGCAAAAAGCAGAAGGTAAGCTCCCAGGAATCCATGTCCATTCCTCAGGGACTGCAGGGATCCAAGTCCTGATCAGATCACGCTACCGGGACCAGCTTAGGGTCCCTGCCCTTGGAGAAGGCCTTCATCTGTCTCACCTGGCTGTGGCTTGGGTCAGAGAAGACAAGGAGCATCTTTCAGTGCAGTTTCCTGGACTTATGTGGCTGCAGCTCTGAGCTGCACCCGCTGGAGTGCAGAGCTGGGGAAGATACAAGGAACATCTCGTGGTCTTCTAGTGCAAACTGATGGAAATAGCCTCTCTTGAGCATTTTGTCTTCCAGATATGTCCAGTTTTGAGTTTTCCTTCTAGAAAGGGCATGATTTTATTTTCCTCTTTGCTTGCTGAAATAAACTCCTCGGGTTGGAACTAACCCAGTAACTTTGAAGAGGCAGTTTGTCAGACCTGCTGAGTGTGCTCTGGGCTGGCCCTGCCTGAGCAGGGAGGTGGGACCGGGTCACCACCGTGTGGCCTCACGAGCTGCTGTCTTCACTGGTGGCCGTTTTAGAGGAGCTCCTGGTGTTTCACATTCTTCCCAGAGGCTTTGAAGTGGAGCTGTTGCTGCTGTTTATTTCCTTCTGAGATGTGCTTGGGGATACCTAAGGTGCAAACTGAAGTTGAGTCTTAACAGTAATTAATGATTGTTTTTTGCAGATTGAGGTTGGTTTGGTTCTCGGGAACAGTCAAGTTGCCTTTGAGAAGGCTGAGAACTCCTCTCTCAATCTGATTGGTAAGTGCCACTGTAACCAGGGAGCAACAATGCTTGGGATCTGCAGCTTTTCAGGCCGCAGAGACTTGATTGCCTCAAGTTGTTTTCTTGTCTTCACTGTTGGTCTTAGATTGGAAAGGCCAAGTGGAGCAGGAGATGCAGCAATAGCCAGGAGGGAGCTGAAATACTTAACTCCTTCAACATCAGAGAATGGTGTTCAGGGAAACCAAAAGCAGCAGCTCTTCCATTCCATTAGTTCAAAGGTTTGGGAATAGGAAGCTGAGAACTGCTGGGAATGTGTGGCCAAAATTTCCAAGGGAGCACAAAAATCCCATGTTCGAGGGCTCTGCCCTTCCTGCAGAGACAGCAGCTGCTCACAGCAAACCAGGCCCTGCCCCTCAGAAGCTGATGGCAGCTGCAGCAGCACAGGGTCACAGTGGGTGTGGAACTGTTCACACCAGTTTATTGACATAACTGGGAGCTTTGGTTTAAGGAGGCACTTTCTAAAACCTCAGCAAAACAGATGTGTGTACAGTATCAGACTTTGTTGTCAGAGAAATTTGGGAATAATTGGTGTGTCCTCCACACATTCCTTTAGACAGAAGCTGGTGTAGGGGTATAGTTGGATCTGGAGTGTTCCCAGATTGCCACCAGCTTGGATGGTGGGACCTGGACCACAGCGTGGGTACTGAGGGGAGTGTGTGTGCCCTGAGACTGTGGTGACTTCCTGGGGAATAGGGACACACTGTTCTCTGGCTGTTCTTTGCTTACCAGTGTTAGGAGGTGGATGACACTTAAGCTCCATGGAGATCCCTCCCTTGCTGGTGATGTGGCTCTAGCCATTCTTCTCTGGGTGTGACTCAAGTCCTGTACAGACATTATGATTTTTCTTTGTTCTCTTTTATCTTTCCTATTTTGCTCCATGAGCTAAATAAACTCCTCCTTTTGCTGCTGCTCTTCCCCAGGTCAGGAGTGGCAGAGGTAGCTGTGTTGGGAGGGGTTCAGGGTCCCTCACTCACCTGACTGTAGCACTGGTGGTTTTTCAGCAGGGTTCAGAGTGCAGCTCTGCCTGGCTGGGTGTGCTCAGTGCTGTGGGTTTGTTACAGAAACAAACCACCTGAGGGGAGCAGCCACCTAGGAAAGGAGAATTCAGCTCATCCAGCACTGCAGGAGCTCGTGGGATTTGATGCTGCCCTGAAGTGCCACAATCATAGAATTTAGGGGTTGGAGTGGAGCTCAGAGCTCACCCAGCCCCAACCCCTGCCCTGGGCAGGGGCAACTCCCACCAGAGCAGGTTGCTCAAGGCTCATCCAACCAGGCTGTGAACACTGCCAGGGTTGGGGCAGCCACAGCCTCCCTGGGCAACCTGTGCCAGTGTCTCACCACCCTCACAGGGAAAATTTCTGCCTAAGATCTAACCTAAATTTCCTCTTCCAGTTTCTCCCCATCACTCCTTGTTCTGTTCCCGCAGTTCCTACCCAAGAGTCCCTCTGCAGCTTCCCTGGAGCCCCTTTGGCTCCTGCAGGTGCTCTGAGGCCTCCACACAACCTTCTCTTCTGCAGGCTGAGCAGCCCCAACTCTCTCAGCCTCAGTTAAGACAACTGCTCAGTGAGTCAGAGCGAGCAGTGATGTTTCACTTGGTTACTCTTAAAGCCACATAGTGACCTGTGATCACCTCTTGGTGCATGTGGGTGTGAGGAGTGGTCCTGGGGGAGAGCTGATGGGGTGGGAATAGGGATCCTTCCCCAGATTTTCATTGTCTGCAGACAAGACAAAAGATCTGCTTGTGCCTCGATTTACTTCTGTCAAATTGGTACTTCATTTAATCTCCTCATTGATCTGAGGCTGAGCTGCCTAATGTGCTTTGTTGGGCTCTGGGGAACTGTAGAGTTCTGAATAATTAAATTCTGGGAGAGGAGATGAAAGTGAAGTCAGTGTCACTGGCTCTGCTGCAGTGAAGGATTTGCATTGTTTGCAACGAGAAGAATTGTAATAATTTTTAACAACAGCCAATTCTGCTTCTTCTGCTTAGCATAGAATTGTATTCTAAAGCCAAGGGATGAGGCTCTAATCACCCTGCAGGAACTTGGCCGTGCCGAGGTGCAGCCAGAAGAGGGGAGTGTAGGCCAAGCGCTGCGGGAGCAGCAGTGTCCCTGGCCGGGGACTCTGAGCGCAGCCCTGGGGCTGGCGGGGCCTGGTGCTGCCCGCGGGGCTCTGCCCAGGGGTCTCGGCCCACCCATGCTGTCCCTGCGGCGGCACTGTTGGCTCCAGCGAGGGCCAAGGCTGGAGCAGCTCTGGCCCAGCTGGCACAGCCCTGCTGCCCATTCTGTGGCTCTGAGCTCAGTGGCTGAGGCAGAGAGTGACAGGCAAAGTCCCTGCAAGGAACCATCAGGCGATGGGAGGAGGAAGAGCTCTCCTGCCACCGTGCCAGGGAGGAGGGAGGGAGTGCTGCTCCCATGTCCACACAGCCTGGGCCCTCTTGGGAAGAGCTGCTGCCTGTGGTTGTTACTATGCATTGTGAACCAAGGGAGATGGGCAAAGTGGAGCATAATTCTGTGCCCGTGTCTGAGACAGAACCAAACTGCAGTGCCTGCAGGTCCAGTGCTGCCAGGGGGTGCAGAGGGACTGAGAGAGGAAAAGGTGCTCCAGTGTGGAGCTGCTGAGTGAGGAAGGAAGGTGAAGTGAGGCCTGGAAAAGGCACGACTGAGGAGGCTGCAGCACAGAGCTGTTCTCGTCCCGGGTAGCCTGAGGAGGAGTAGGTGCTGTACAGTAGCAGGCCTGAGCTGGATCTGAGGGGCCTCTGGGTGCTCAGGTAGATGGGTCCATGGGTGTCTGGGGGAACTTGTTGCAGATCCTTCAATACACACCTGGCTGGAGAAATCCCTGAACTGGGTGGTTGGAAGGCTGAGAAAACCGTTTACTAAGGAACCATGTCTGGTGCCCTGCTCCTGGGTCCTTGTCACTTTGTGTCCTCCTGGCAACATCCGAACTCAGACATTGTGTGAGCAGGAGGAGGGGGTGACTGCAGAGCTGTGCTGGAATCTGCTGGGCTGGGTTTGAAACATTCCTTTGGTTTTGCAGGCAAAGCAAAGACCAGGGAGAGCCGACAGTCCATCATCAACCCCGACTGGAACTTTGAGAAGATGGGCATTGGGGGCCTGGACAAGGAGTTCTCGGACATCTTCCGAAGAGCCTTTGCTTCGCGTGTTTTCCCTCCTGAAATTGTGGAGCAAATGGGTGAGTCTCATCCAGGGAAGTGTGGCTGGAGCACAGGGGGCACACTGCTTCTGGGCTGGGAAGGCTGCACATCAGCTGCAGCCTTGTCATGCTGCAGCACAGCAGTTCCATAGGGATCTGACACACCAGCAGAGCCTCTCCATCCCCTGCTGCTCCCAAGCTGAGACAGGAGATTCAGAATTGAGACTTGGAAAGTTTTTCCCTGTTAGTGTGTTCAGGCATTGGAATATTGCCCAGGGAGGTGGTGGAGTCACCATCCCTGGAGGTGTTCAAGAAGTGTCTGGATCTGTCACTGGAGGATATGGTTCAGGGGTTACAGCAGAGACAGGTTAATGGTTGGACTTGGCGATTCTATGGTTCTGTGAAGTGTAGTTTGTACTCTTGTTACTTGGCTGGGGAAGGGGGACAAGAACAACATAAGTACTCAGTCCTGCACATGGAATGTCAGAAGGAATATGTAGTTTAACTGGATCCTGCTCTGGTGGAACTGCAACTGGGGCTCTGAGCAGCCTGGGCTGGTGGGAGGTGTCCCTGCCCATGCAGGAGTGGGACTGGGTGGGCTTTAGTGCCCCTTCTGACCCAAACCAGCCTGTGACTCTGATCTCTGTGGTTTCATGGTGTTTAGGGAGGTAATGGGCCCCACTGGGGATCATTAAGGACCAACCCTCAAAGAGATGATCTTTAAGGTCCTTCCAACCCAAACCATTACATGGTTCTGTGGAACTCCTGATTCTCTGAACACTTCGGTTATGCACAGCAGTGAGACTTGCAGCTCCTCCTCCTGCCCATGGGCTGCCAGGGTTGGAAGGAATCCTGTCCTGATGCTCCTGCCATCATCTGTGGGACATCCCTGTTGTCCAGGCAGCTGCACTGTGGGCCCAGTCCTGCTCCCAGTGAATCCAGCACCACATCAGGGCTGAAATGCTGGAGCAGATACACAGCCTATGGCACATCCTGGAGTTTCATGGATTCATAGCGTGTGAAGGGGTTGGGATGGAGTTCAGAGATCATCCAGCCCCAACCCCCGCCCTGGGCAGGGACACCTCCCACCAGAGCAGGTTACTGAAGGCTCCATCCAACCTGTCTGTGAACACTGCCAGAAGTTTGTTAAATAAAAGCACAGAATCTAAATATAGCTTTCTTTTTTGGGCTGGGGAAGGCAAGGCAGCCCCAGAGCTCCATAAACAAGTGCTGGCAGGCAGAGTAGTGGTGCTGGGTTTGATTTTTCAGTAAGCACAGTGCAGCTGCAGGGATCTGATTCGGTCACACCGCATGGCTGGGGATGTTCTGACTGGTCCTTGTTCTCAGAATCTGATCTCTGGGGGTTCATGTTTAACCTTGGAATCCATAGCTGGATAATTGCTGTGTATGTTTATGTTTCTGAGCCACCTTCCCTCTCCCCACAAATGAGGCAATCAGGATTCTGATTACAAACAGATTTCCATCAGGAAATATGTCCTGTTTGTGTGTGAAGTGTGTCCAGTGCCTGTGGAACTGATGCAAAGTAAACTTCCCTAAGAGGAGCCTTCAGTCTTTTCCTGGTGATTGGAACACTGGAGGAACCTCAGGGCTGAGTCCAGTTTGGTGCCTGATCCTCTGCTGCCTTTCACTCCTGTTGCTCTGAGGCCTCTGGGGGATGATCTTGGGTCTCTTGGCTTAAGTGGCTGTGAGCAAGACAGAACTTCTGTGCTTCTGCCTGAGAACATCAAGTGCTTGAATTGGTTAAGTATTGAACTGCTGTGCAGGGAAAGGAAAGGAGAGGAATGGTGTCAGTTCTGGGAAGAAGAGCTTTTACCTAGGGACACTGGTGTCCAGGACAGCACTGACAGGCTGAACTTGAAACATTTTACTGCTCTTGTGTGGATTCATGAACTTTTCCCATTAAGACAGGCTTCAGACTTGGGGAATTCCCATCGGTGTCACTGGACTGTCAGGAATATGTTCGTAGACTGGAGACAATCCGAGCTGTGGTTCCCTGTCCATCCCCCCTCGCTGTGGGCAAGGTGGCAGCACAGGCCTCTGCATTCCCATTGCATTCCCGTCCCTGGGCACTGCCCTTGGCTGGATGCACCTTGCAGCTGGGCGCTCTGGAGCGGGGCAGCAGCTCCACCTGTGCCAGGGCCCTCCGGCGCGGGTGGGAATCCTTGCTGGCTGAGGCTGTGCAGCTGCTCAGAGGGTTCCTCCTGCTAACTGCTGTTGCTCAGTGCAGGGAGACAAAGCCTCTGTGGAGGACCAGCAGTGTGTGTATCTCTCTGGGCCAGGAGCTGAGGTGTGCCACATTACTGAGAGCAGCACAGCCCCCAGCTGCTGCGTGTTCACACACATACTGCACAGAGACACTGCTCAGCTGAGCTGGGCTCAGAGCAGAGTCACCCCAGGGCTAAAGAGCTTCGCAGAAATGTGAGAAAACCAAAACTTTCTGACATTCATTTGCTTTGCCTTAGTTCTGACTTGCTCTTAACTATATTTCAGCTCTGAAATGTCAGTGTGACAGCTGCTCACCTTTGTGAATAATTGACTGAGAAAGGAAAGAAGGAATCTGCCTGCTCCCTGGTGCTCCAGTGCTCCCCCAGTGTTGCTCCTGGCCCAGCTCTCCCTACCTGCAGCTTCCACACCAAACCCCAGAAACATTTCTGCACAGAGGCTCTATAGACCCTTCAAGCCTTACTTGCAATTTGTGTGTGGTTTATCTGACTTCCAAGGAATGTTCTGGGTTTGGAGCACATAAGTCAGTGTTATACCATATCATCTGAGGGGGAAAATACTGCTTTGATGGGATAAGCAGATTGCTCTAGGCTTCAGCCAACCTGGCTTTGAACACTACCAGGGTTGGAGCAGCCACAGCCTCCCTGGGCAACCTGGGACAGTGTCTCACCACCCTCACAGGGGAAACTTCTGCCTAAGACCTAAGCTCAGTTTCCTCTTTCAGTGTCCTTGTCCTGTCCCTGCAGTTCCTGAGCATACCATGACACTGTGGTAACACTCCCTCGAGGCTGGGTCTGGGATTCTAGAGCCATTTCTCGTAGCCTCTGGATCACTGCTCACTGCTTCTCCTCCCTTGGCCTTTACTGCTCAGTGTGTGGAGCAGCCCAAGGACACATCCCCTCTGACAGGTTCTGGCTGTGCCTCCCTGTCTGGCTCTGGGTATAATCCTCACTGTGATGATATTTGTGTTGTGCAACATGCAGTTAATTATTTCTCACCAACTTAGAAACTTGTGCATCAAGTTACATAGATTGTAAATGAGTTTAATCCTTCCTGTCAGTGTATTTGTAGCTCTTGGCTTTGCAGTGTGCAGATTTAATTGGTGCATTCTGTCCTGTTCCATCTTCCAGGCACCACATGCCACTAAATCCAGGATGGATCATTTCCCACTGCACTTTCAAGTTTGTGGATTTTTAATTCACTTTTCATCTACTCTGACTTCATTCAGCCTGGGCTTTTCCTGCTTGTCTAGCAGGATGTGTAACACCTATTTATAGCTTTAGGAAAGTCTAAACCTCCCTCTCTTGCTTTCTTTGTTCCCTCAAACCCTCTGTGTGGGACTCCCCTTTCCTGGAGGGAAGTTGTCTCAGGCTGATCTAATAAATTAGTTTTGGCTGTTTCTTGTATCCTTGTTTACTTCTACCTACTGAAAAAGATACTATGCCAGAATTTTCCAGGAATGAGGTTAGTGCTGGGTCTGTACCACGTGTGCTCAGCATCCATCCAGCAGCTCTGCAGACTGTGCAGTCAGGGGTGTTCTGTAGCTCCTCTTAGGAGACATTTGCTCTGTGCTGTCTTCTTTGAAAGCTTGGGGGTTCTCATATATACTCTTACCAAAATCCCTCCTTCTGACAGTCCTGATCCAGTTTGTGGAGCCAAAGACATGGGAAGCATCTCTAAAGCTGATTTATTTGCATTTCTAGCCCATTCCGTCAGAAATGGACACATGTCCATCAAACATGGACAGATGTCCTGCCTAAGAGTTTGCCTTCCCCTGGCAGCACCAGGAACTCTCCCATTCTCAGTAGTTGGCAAGACTTTTGTTTCCAAGTTGGTCTGTTTGATTTCCCATTAATGTCCCTATTCAGCCTCTAACTGTATGTCATTAAGTGGCATCATTGAGGCTCAGGTTACAGGAATGACCTTTGCTTTGGAGTCCCAGCGCTGAGCTGAAGGGGCTGGAGATGTCTGCACTGCTAATCATTTGTGTTCAGAGAGATCGTCGTGACAGTATTGACATTTGGGGAAATCAGCAGAGGGGAGATAAACTTAATCAAAATTCCTGTGTGGTGCAGAGGATCCCACTGTGGCGAGAGACCTAACATTTGTGGTGTGTCATCACCTCTCGATTGAGCGATGTCCTGTCTGTGCTGGCAGCTGTGACTGTGGCTGTGCAGGGAGGTCTCTGCTGCCGTGGCTGGGGCAGGTTTATCTGAGGAGGAACTGACTGCTTTGGGGTCAGGAATGTTGTCCCACCTGACCCAGACCTGCTCCCAGTGTTGCCCGTTCGGGTCTTGCGGCAGGTCAGGCCTCACTGTTCTGTCCACAGGTGTCAGGGCCAGAGGCTGAGCAGGACTGGCCAGTGCTGGCTGAGCTTCTCTGGTGTCTCTGGGGACCTGCTGGGCCCAGAGCTGGGATTTCTGCTCCCTGTAGTGCTGCTGAGGGCTCAGCTAAGGCCATGCATGCCTGGAGCTGGCACGGCGTTCCAGGGAGCTGGGGGAACGGCTGGAGCTGTGACAGGGGAGGGTCAGGGTGGCTAATGACTGTAACTGAATGTTCTCTAACAAAAAGCATGCTCAAGGGGTCCCTGCTGCAAGCACCGAGTCCCTCTGTGCTCCACTGCTGTTCCAGGGGAGGGTCAGGGTGGCTAATGACTGTAACTGAATGTTCTCTAACAAAAAGCATGATCAAGGGGTCCCTGCTGCAAGCACCGATTCCCTCTGTGCTCCACTGCTGTTGCCATCGCTCTCCTCCTCTCTGACGCTGTCCTCTCCCGTTCCAGGCTGCAAGCACGTGAAGGGCATCCTGCTGTATGGGCCTCCAGGCTGTGGGAAGACCCTGATGGCCAGGCAGATTGGGAAGATGCTGAATGCCAGAGAGCCAAAGGTGGTCAATGGCCCCGAGATCCTCAACAAGTACGTGGGGGAGTCGGAGGCAAACATCCGCAAGCTGTTCGCCGACGCCGAGGAGGAGCAGAGGAGGGTAAGGCTCCACATGTGCCAAGGGGGTGAGTGTACCAAGGAGTGACCAGAGAGGGGCTCTGGGGTCACAGAATCACTGCTGGTGTTGCAGACTGAGTCACTGCTTGGCTTGGGGTTGTGGCTATTCCTTGCCAGTGATGGAGTGTTGATGTGGTACAGACGCACACTGTCAGCCAGGAAAACGGTGTTAGGACCTGGAAAGGCCTGAAAATTCTTTGGGTCATAGTGTGTTAAGGGGCTGGGATGGAGCTCAGAGTCTATCCAGCCCCACCCCCTGCCCTGGGCAGGGTCACCTCCCAGCAGAGCAGGTTGCTCAAGGCTCATCCAACCTGGCTGTGAACACTGCCAGGGTTGGGGCAGCCACAGCCTCCCTGGGCAACCTGTGCCAGTGTCTCACCACCCTCATAGGGAAAACCTCTGCCTGAGACCTTACCTCTTCCAGTTTCTCCCCATTGCTCCTTGTTCTGTTCCCGCAGTTCCTACCCCAGAGTCCCTCTGCAGCTTCCCTGGAGCCCCTTCAGCTCCTGGAAGGCATTTTCATGAGGAGGAATTCCTTCCCAGGAAGGGCAGTCAGACACTGCAATGTGCTGCCCGGGGAGGTGGTGCAGACACCGTCCCTGAGGTGTGCAAGGACAGACTGGATGTGGCACTCGGGGCCATGGTCTGGTTGGCGTGTGGTGTTAGGGCAGAGGTTGGACTCGGTGGTCTCAGAGGTTTCCAGCCTGGCTCTGTGGCTGTTGGAGGCCGTTGGGTCCCAGCCAGCTGTGCCCGGGTGGGCAGTGCCTGTCCTGCCCTGTGGGTACCACGTCCCCTGCTCCTCAAGGCCTTCGGAATGGCATTGCCACAGTTTTGCTGTTCTTCTCTTTTTTGTGGGAGAGGCACAGTTAGTCTGTTTGGATTTGTCCTACTGTATTCAGGTGGCACATAACGTGGGATGAACTCCAAGTAAGCTTTCAGGGTCTGAGGTTTTTGGGTTACAGCTCATTAGTATGTTGTAGTCCTTGGAGTGTTGTAATTGAGACATTATTAATTCTGCTCAGCAGAAAACTAATGGATGAGAATAAGATCTCAAAACTAGACACATCTAGTCTTTGAAGCATCTTACATCTGTGAAACTGGAAGTGAAGATAAATATTCTGCTTTTCCAGTCTTGTTTTTGATCCATTACTGTAGCTGCCTGTCAAACCCCAGTCTTTGGTGGGAAGGTGGAAATACGTATTTCACATGTGCTCTGGTAATTTTTCTCTGCTGTGAATCATCAATCTTGGTAGATTTTCTGGAAAAGAGCATGAAATGTCAGGGCAGTCACAGCTCAGTGATGGCAGAAGTCATTAAGGATCCTATAATTGTTTTTAGACCTAACAAAGCAGATTTTAATTCCTTAATTTCATTAATCAGTCAGCCCCCTGTGAGCAGTCTCCTGCTCCCTGCCTGTTCCAGGTCCCTGCAGCTCTCCCCCTCCAGCAGCACACCTGGTGGAGCAGCCTCAGCGCTGGTGCAGGGCATGGGCTGACGACAGGCTGAGAGATTAGAAAGGTCTCCCAAAGGTTGGCATTGTGTCTGGGGCACAGTGCCAGGGCCAGGCATTCACCCAGTGTCAGCGTGGCCTGCATGGCCACAAAAGGGTTTTATAGCTGGAATTTGAAGGGGTAAAGCTTCATAACACAGCCACAAAAAGCATCCTGTTCTCTTAGCAGCTGCCACTGCCTCACCCCTGGGTGAACCTGGAAATGGCCGTTCTGGGCCCGATGGGCACGGGCTCCCTGGGCTCCCTGGAGTCGTTCACAAAGCTGCTCTGGCAAGCTGTGTGTTCACTGCCTTTAGTCCAGCCTGGGGTATTCCCATACTGCTGCATCCCTCCCTCCTCAGCTGAGCCTTGTTTCCCCTCTCTTTTGAGACCTTTCCCAGGTGGGAACCCTTTGTCTGAGCTCTGTTCCAGTTTTGGCCTTTGCTTTGCTTCTCCAGTCTAGTCCTCTTCCTTGAAACCAGTGTCAGCTGTGAATCCTACGTTTGGGCCAAGGCCACCAAACACCCTGGTTTGGGGATGGGCAAGGCCACAGAATTATGGAACCATCAAGGCTGGAAGAGACCTCTGAGATCATTCAGTCCAGCCCTTAACCTGTCATTCCTGTAACCCCTAAACCATATCCTCCAGTTACAGATCCAGACACCTCTTAAACACCTCCAGAGCTGGTGACTCCACCACCTCCCTGGGCAATATCCTAGTGCCTGAACGTCCTAATAGTGTTACTTTATGGCTGTTCCCTCTAGTCCTCTCTGCCATGGCAGGAGAGACCATCCCCAGTTGCTCTCCTGGGCAGGGTCTGACACACCCCCCCACGGGAGGCCAAGCACACACGGAGGTGTCAGTGCTGTGTGTCTGTCTGTCTGAGCTTGGTGACAGCTCCATGTTGGGTGGTGCCATTCCTGACCCTGTCTGTCCCACAGCTGGGAGCCAACAGTGGAGTGCACATCATCATCTTCGACGAAATCGATGCCATCTGCAAGCAGAGAGGCAGCATGGCAGGCAGCACTGGGGTCCATGACACAGTTGTGAACCAGCTGCTCTCTAAAATTGATGGAGTGGAGCAGCTCAACAACATCCTGGTGATAGGTAGGATGTGCTTCCCTTCTCTCACAGGGGCTGGCATGACTTCCCCAACATTCCAGAGGACGAGTGTCTTCTGTCTGTTTCCTTGGGGCTCTTTGAGGTATCTGAATGGGCTGTGTCGGGGTTGGAAAAAATAAATTTAGGTAACACTAACTCTGTTGTAACTTTGCCTGTAGGAATGACCAACAGACCTGACCTGATCGATGAGGCTCTGCTGAGGCCAGGGAGGCTGGAGGTGAAGATGGAGATTGGTAAGCAAGTGCAACTCATACTGTGAACACAAACCAGGCTGGCTCGGGAACTGAGCCTTGTGCACCTCCTCCGGAGTGCTGCGTGTCAGTTTCTTCAGGCAGGCTCTGCTGGTTGGGACTGGGGTAGAGTTCACTTTCTTCCCAGTGCCTAGTGTGGGGCTGTGTTTGGGATTTGTGTGGAGGACAGCTTGAAAGAGCAAGTGGTGTAACTGAAGGTTCTCTAACAAAAAGCATGATCAGGTATTCCCATTGTAAGTGTGAATTGCTCATGGTGGGAAGGAGCCTTTGGAAGTAGGACTGTGGAGGAGAGGGCAAGGAGGAGACTGAGGAGAGACCTCAGTACTGTATACAACCTCCTCCCGAGGGCAGTGCAGGGACAGCTCTGAGCTCTGCTCTGTGGGACCAGGGACAGGACCCAGGGAATGGCTGGAGCTGTGCCAGGGGAGGTTAGGTTGGATATCAGGACACAGTTCTTCCCCCAGAGGTGTTTGGGCAGTGGTCACAGCCCCAAGGCTGACAGAGCTCAGGGAGTGTTTGGCAAGTGCTCTCAGGCACAGGGTGGAGTGTTGGGGTGTCGTGGACAGCAGTTGGACTGAGATCCTTGTGTGTCCTTCCAGCTCAGGATATTCTGTGATTCTGTGCCCTGCAGTTCTGTGCTGAGGTGTTGGTGTGTGTTGTGTCCATCCCAGGTTTGCCAGATGAGAAGGGTCGGTTCCAGATTCTCCACATCCACACAGTGAGGATGAGGGAGCACCAGCTGCTGGCTGAGGACGTGGACATTGCAGAACTGGCAGTTGAGACCAAGAACTTCAGTGGTGCTGAGCTGGAAGGGTTAGTTCGAGCTGCTCAGTCCACTGCCATGAACAGGCACATTAAGGTCAGTCCTCTTGGCTCTCACTGGGGCAAAAAAAGGGGAAATAATGATGTTTGGAATCTTGAATTTCACTTCCCAGTGGGTAGGGACATCTCTGTGTGCCTGAGGAGGTGAAGTTCACGTGGACACCACCTGATGCCTGTGCTTCTCCTTCATCCTGAATTACCTCTTCCATCTCCTTGCCCTCCAAGGGGCTCTTGCACAGGGCATGGAAGGGGATGGTCTGTGTCTTTCAGTAAAAACTGGAAGACTTCAGCTCAGTTTGTGTATTGGGCCCAGGAGATGAGGTGGAAATGGGAACTGCTGGTTGTATGGAGTGATCTGCTGGAGCCTGTGCAGCTCAGTGTGTTCATAAAAGAACAGTTCCATGTTCTTCGTGGAACTGTTCCATGAGGACATGGAACTGTTGGACAAGTCCAGAGGAGGCCACGACGCTGCTCAGAGCACCTTCCCATGAGGACAGGCTGAGAGTTGGGGCTGCTCAGCCTGGAGAGGAGAAGGTTGTGTGGAGACCTCAGAGCAACCTGCAGGAGCTGAAGGGGCCCCAGGGGAGCTGCAGAGGGATCTGTGTTAGGAGCTGCCCCTGGGGCAGGACAGCTGTAGTGCCTGGCTGTGTGGGGCTGTGGCTCTGGGGAGCTGAGGATTGCTCTGCTGTGTCCTGCGAACGCCTCACGAGAGGCATTTGTCCTGCCACAGGGCTGGGCCTGCAGGGGCACTCGAGAGGGGCACCTCAGTGTCTTCTCTTGCATTTCTAGGCCAGCAACAAAGTGGAAGTGGATATGGAGAAGGCAGAGAGCCTCCGTGTGACCCGAGGAGACTTCTTTGCATCCCTGGAGAATGATATCAAACCAGTAAGTGTAGCAGGTGCCTCCTGGAGCAGCCTCCGGCGCAGCAGTGAGGGCAGGGAGCAGCTTCCTGCTGGCTCAGACAGGCAGTGGTGCCCCGTGGGCTGGCCCAGTGCCCTGTGCCATAGGGGTTCGTGGAGAGTCTCTGGGGCTCTGCGTGTGCCTCTTGCTGCATGTCATTACTAGGACTGGAATGCTCTGCCCAGGAGATGCTGGAGTCCCTGAGGTGTCTGGACGTGACACTCGGTGCCGTGGTCTAGTTAACATGGTGGTGTTGGGTCACAGGTTGGACTTGACCTCAGAGGTCTTTTCCAACCTAATGGATTCTGTAAGAATCATAAAAAGGAATAGAACAAATAGAGGAACTCGGGAATTCTCCTTTCCAGATGTGCTGTCTCCCTTCTGGCCACTCAGTTACTGGGAGAGAGCTTCACTATGGGCTGGAGGAGGTTTAAGCCTCATGCCTGAGAACTGTCCTCAGTGACATGGAGTCAGAACCCACTGGCAGCTTGCACTGACTAGAGTGGGCTGTGAGGGAGTGTGCAAAGCTGTTTCTAGACATGCCTGGGTTCCACCTGTGTCCAGTCCTCTGAGCTGAAATGATGTGAGTCTGCCTGCCTCACCTCAGCACCTTCCAGAGCCTTGTCCTCGTCACTTTGGGCATGTTTAGTGGTTCGATGTCTGTTCTGATGCATTGCAAAATGAATGTTCCTTCTCTCAATCCAGGCATTTGGAACCAACCAGGAGGACTATGCCAGCTACATCATGAATGGGATCATTAAGTGGGGGGACCCTGTGACGAGGGTGTTGGATGATGGGGAGCTGCTGGTCCAGCAGACCAAGAACAGTGACCGCACGCCGCTGGTCAGTGTGCTCCTGGAAGGTACACAGAAGGGAAAGGCCGTGGAGAAACCCCAAGCCACCTGCCAGTCACCACCTGGTCACCTGCTGCACCTGAATGTGCAGGAAACACAGGGGGAGAGAAATGGGATTGGGCTCTTGCAGGTTGCTTCAGATGTTGAAAGTGACTTCTCAGCCAGAGGAAATCCTGGGCTTGGGACAAGGGAGGAGGGAATGTGCCCAGTCAGGACCCCAGTGTGCCTGGTTAATAGCCAAAATGTGCCAGTTAATAACCAAATGTACCACTTAATAACCTGCATGTGACTGTTCTAGTGTGAATCTCTCTAGCTGAGTCAGTTGTCTAAATTCTCTTGGAAGTCTCTGGGAGAGCTCATCAGTGTAATTAGCTGAGTTCAAATAGCCACATTTAGGTGTCTCTGCCAGTCAGAGGTGGATTTCCCTCTACCCAGACTGTTACTGGCTATGGAGAGTTTCCACATACTGAAGACTGGTTCCAGTATCTGTGTTGGAGTAGAGTTTATCACCTAGCTCTTCCCTCTTTCTTTTCCTGAAGTCCAAACAAATGGATAACCAGTGTTGCTCATTGGTCTGTAGCTTTGGAGTGAACACTGAGCAGATCCCCTGGGTAATTCTGTGTTTGGGACCAGCACATCACCTGTGTGCAGATCCCTCTGGCCCTCCCAGCTGACCTGTGGTGGATGCACAGATCCAGGTGTATCTTCGGTCTCTGAATCATCCTGGTGTGAATTCAGGCCCATAACACATTGCCAAGGTCAGTGTTTCCCTGGCACTCCTGCTGCTGCCACGGTACCAGCAAAAGTCATACTTAGAAAGGGCATAAACACAGTTCAAGAAGCTTCTCCCAGCACAAACTCACTCATTTGGTCCTACAAACTGAGTAACATCCTCTCGTGGTTCCATGGCAAATCAGTTTGTGTGTGCTCGAATACTTCCATTAATTGCCTTCGTCTGGAGGGTTGGGTTGGGTTGCACCAGGAGTTCATGCGTTCCCTCTGCAAGTAGAAGCCAAGTTCATTGCAAGCTGCAGATGCCTCTGATGGGATTATAAACACACTTCAGACACTGACCACACTGAGCACTGCCAGAGCTGTTTTCTCCCTGTCTGTGCTTGGTTCCAGGACCCCCCCACAGTGGGAAGACTGCTTTAGCAGCAAAGATAGCAGAGGAATCCAACTTCCCCTTCATCAAGATCTGCTCTCCTGATAAGATGATTGGGTTTTCCGAGACAGCCAAGTGCCAGGCCATGAAGAAGGTACATGTGTCCTGCTCTGGCCTGGATTCCAGCCCAGTTCTGTGTTCTCTGGTGCAGGGAAAGGGGAATTCTCTTGTGGTTGTGTTTTCTGCTCTCTCTAGGTCTGAAATTCCTATACCTGTGTTTATTTGTAGCATTGAATGACTCTCATAGAACTGTGAATGATTTGGGTTGGAAGGTTAAAGCCCATCCAGTCCCATGGGCAGGGACACCTCCCACCAGCCCAGGGTGCTCCATCCCTGTGAGTTTTCCAGGCCAGTCTGGACAAGACCGGGAGCAGCCTGGGCTGGTGGAAGGTGACCCTGCCATGGCAGGGGTGGCATAGGATGAGCCTGAAGTGCATTTTGCTGTGTTTCAGATCTTTGATGATGCCTACAAGTCCCAGCTGAGCTGTGTGGTGGTGGATGACATTGAGCGACTCCTGGGTGAGTCAGGAATAGACAGAGCTGTGCTGGCTGTGCAGGAAGATTGACATAGTGGCCACATTGACACCTATTAGCCACACAGGGAGGGGCTGAGGGAGTCAGGAAACCTGCACTTGGGCTGCTCAGCTGGAGAAGGGGAGACTGAGGGGAGACCTCGTGGCTGTATACAAACTCCTCCCCGAGGGCAGTGCAGGGACAGCTCTGAGCTCTGCTCTGGGACAGTGACAGGAGCCAGGGAGCGGCCGGAGCTGTGTCAGGGGAGGTCAGGTTGGATATTAGGCAAAGGCTCTTCCCCCAGAGGTGTTTGGGCACTGGAGCAGGGTTAGGTCAGATATCAGGACAAGACACTTCCCCCAGAGGTGTCTGGGCACTGAACAGCTCCCAGGGCAGTGTCACAGCCCCGAGGCTGACAGAGCTCAGGGAGGGTTTGGCCAAGCTGCTCTGGGACACGGACCGAAGCCAGGGAGCGGCCGGAGCTGTGTCAGTGGAGGTCAGGTTGGATATTAGGCAAAGGCTCTTCCCCCAGAGGTGTTTGGGCACTGGAGCAGGGTTAGGTCAGATATCAGGACAAGACACTTCCCCCAGAGGTGTCTGGGCACTGAACAGCTCCCAGGGCAGTGTCACAGCCCCGAGGCTGACAGAGCTCAGGGAGTGTTTGGCCAGTGCTCTCAGGCACAGGGTGGGGTGTTGGGCTGTCTGTGCAGGAGTTGGACTGATGATCCTGTGGGTCTTTCCAGCTCAGGATATTCTGTGCTACTGAAACTGGAAATGATCTGGAACCATTTGCTTAGGAGCACTGGTCTAGTTTAGGTACAGTGAAGTGGCTTAAATGTACATCTGCTCTGTGGGCACTGAAATGCCTTTTGCCTTCCAGACTACGTCCCGATTGGGCCGCGGTTCTCCAACCTGGTCCTGCAAGCCCTCCTGGTGCTGCTGAAGAAGGCTCCCCCTCAGGTAAGGCAGAGGGGAGGGGTGGGATCCCCTTTTCCTGTCGCAGTTGTGACAGTGGGAGCTTTGTGCCTGGCTGAGAGCTGCTGTACTGCCAGAGCCTTTGTCCCCGAGCCAGTCGCGTTAATCCCATCCCGCTGCTCCTCTCTCACTGGGGCATTTCTGGGATAACCACGAAGGATTCGGCTTGAAACACCTAATTACTGAGCGATGAATTTTCTGCAGTTAGTCCTAGAAGTCCTAGGGAAACCAGCGTAGCCCTCACCAGGTGAAGCAAGCTAGGCCAGCTGCCCTCTCTGCCTGCTCTGGTGGGCACCGCAGCCACCCGCTCCGTCCTCCTCCACGGACCAGGCCCTGCACCGCCTCTGGTTTGCCTCTCGGGGGTTAATGTGCTCTTAACTTGAACCATCAGGTGTTAATTACCGTGGCTGAGGAAAGCTTAAGATCTTGCCTCATGCTCACCCTGTCTGTTTGCTCTTTGTGGCTCAGGGAGCTTCAAGAACATCACAGAGCTCTGCAGCTCGCTCTGAGCTAGACAGGCAGGCAGGGACTCCTCTCTTGCTTGCCATTTGCCTGTCTCTCGCTGCATTTCTGCTCTGTGTGTGAGTATCTGCATGAATAAACAACATCCTAACAGGAACACCTTGAAAGTTGGTGTCAGAGAGGAGCAGAGCCTGGATGGAGTCATTGTGTGTCATGTTTCATATCCTGGCACAGCAGTGTGTGCATCAGTGTTGTTTTCATTAGGGAGTTTGCTGAAAAGACCTTTCAAACACAGGACTTTGAACTAAATTGTAATGCCACGGGCCCTGAGTTGCCTGTGTGACTGTCAGCCTGGCAGAACAAAGATTTTCCTCACGAGCTTTCTAGGCCATGTGAAGTCTCTAACAGAACAAGCCAAGTTCTGTCACATGGTTGGAACAGAACAGCTACTGGTGTGCCACAGCACAGCCATCTGTGGTCACTCAGTCAGAGTCATAGATGTTAGGGGCTGGAATGGAGCTTAGAGGTTAGCAGGTAGCCCTAGCTGGAGGATGTCTGTGTCCAGCTCACACATCCAGCACACCCAGGAGACTCAGGCTAGTGCTTAGGCAGGTGGGACAAGAAAACATCCACAGCCACCTAAGAAAGGAACTGGGATCCTTGGCTGAAAGGGCTTCAGCTGCTCAGGGCTGAAAAATGGACCCAAAGTGCTGTTCACCAGGACTGTTGGTGTAGCTGCTTTGCCACCTCTGAGCAAATCTGCTCCGAAGAGCAAATCTGCTGGGATAAAGGTGTCTCTCTTTCAATTTATGTTTATATATAATCTGTAATCTCCTGCAGTCACTGCCCTATTGCTGTGGCTGTTCCATAGTGCCTGGACTTGGTCCCATAAGTCAGTAGGGAACACAGGACTCAGTTTGGTTCTGTTTTCAGAGGAACTTAACCTCTTAAATAGTCCATTTGACCATTGTGTCTGGGGTGTGTGCTGCTGCTGGTGACACCTGGGGCTCCCTGGGAGCAGGACACAGGGCTGGAGCTCTCAGCTATTTGCCAAGTTTGTGCACGTTGCAGAGATTTGTGCTCTGCAGGGTTTGAAGTGCCCTGGGGGCTGTGAGACTCTGCCTTGACAGCCAATATTATGGGGACTTAAGCCATAAATTGTTGGAGGGTAGAGAGAGTTTGCTGAGGAAATGTCACAGTTTGAGGGCTCCCTGGGAGCAGGACACAGGGCTGGAGCTCTCAGCTATTTGCCAAGTTTGTGCACGTTGCAGAGATTTGTGCTCTGCAGGGTTTGAAGTGCCCTGGGGGCTGTGAGACTCTGCCTTGACAGCCAATATTATGGGGACTTAAGCCATAAATTGTTGGAGGGTAGAGAGAGTTTGCTGAGGAAATGTCACAGTTTGATTGATTATGGGGTTTTTCTTTC